TATTTCCATAGAGGATGAAGGTTAAAGTCCAATATGAATGGAGGCCTTCTCCATGTGATACCTGTGAATCCATATTTCACTCTTCTGCTACATGTCCCACCAATCCTACTACCTCAGATGGGGACAATATTAAGAAGGCCGCCAATTTTAGAGGAAGTTCTTCTCGTACTCCCCATAACACCAGGGAAAGAAGCTCTAACCCTACTGGTCGTGCTAGGTTACTGCCTCTTCAATCTACTCCCAAAGCTCTTGCTAGTCCCAAAAAGCCGCCCACCAAAGCTTTCTCTGTCGACATCCCTTCCTCTTCCTCCCCCTCAAAATCTTCTCAACCACAAAATGTTACCGACCAAACCTCTGCTTCAAAACTTCAACTTCCACAAACTGACTTTATACCTAACCTTAACTCCCCTACGGATGAAACCATTATTAACTCCATCAACCTTTATGTCTCCAAAAATCAGACAACTGATGTTGTTTCCCCTAACAAGTTTGATGCTCTAATGGACATTCAAACATATGCTTGCTCTATCAATTCTGACCCTGTATTGGAAAATCATGTGAACAGGGAAAAAGAAGAGCCCCATCCTCCAAAAACAAAAGTTGCCAACATACCACAGCCCCCTCCCTCATCATCAGCAAAAAATACCCAAGGCAAACATAAGAAGCCATCTCACCCTTCCCTCTATTGCCTCATGGAACATTAGGGGTTTTAATAACCCTAGCAAAGTTAGCGCTTGTAAGCATTTTATTAAAGCACATAAGTTGGATCTGATTTGTATTATGGAGAATAGGATTCATTCAAATTCTATTGCTGATCCTTGGTTCACTATTGCTCACACGGTTTTTAATTCTGAAGTTAGCTGCAATAATTTTAATTTTTCTGCTTCTGGAAGGATTTGGATTAAATGGGCTAGGGATCGAATCTCTTTTGCTCCCACATTCTTCTCTTCTCAGCTTATTTGTGGTTTTGTTTCTTATGGCCCTGCCACATCCTTTTTCTTAGTGCTGTCTATGGTTCCAACTCTGTGGATGATATGTTGTTATTATGGCAACAACTTTGTTCTAACTCACCCTCCTCTGATATTCTGTGGATTATTTTGGGAGATTTCAATTGCTTCAAGTTTCAAAATGAGAAGGCGGGTGGAACCCCACTCCATTTCAGTCGTTTGGGGGATTTTAACTCTTTCATTTTTTACAACCATCTCGTTGAACTTTATTCTACTGGTCTATTTTATACTTGGTTCAATCAGCAAACAGAGAATTCCATTCATATTAAGCTTGATAGGGCTTTAGTGAATGAAGTTTGGATTGGCAAATACCCAGTCTCTTATTACTTTGTGGATAAGCCTTTTTGTTCTGACCACAGTCCATATTGTTCTTAAAAATGGAAGATCTAATTCTAGTAGTAATCGGTTTCTGTTCAAAAAATTTTGGACTTCTAAGGATGACTACTAGGGCATTTTGTTATATAATTTCTTGGAGCCCACTCTGGGTAATCCACTGGTGGATTTGTCTAATAAGCTAAGGAAGCTCAAAGCTTCAATCAAAACTAGAGAATGGGTCTCTGCCAATGTCATTCAATCAGCTCTTCATAGCCTTCAGGAAAAGCAACAGTCCATCCTTAATAATTTGGATTATGACCCTTCTAATCCCAACCTTAATGATGTTTTGAAAGGTACTAATGGTGATATTGCTGATTTAACTACATCATGGACTTCTTGGGTCACTCAAAGAGCCAAAGCCAAATGGATCAAAGATGGGGAAGATGTCCTTAAATTTTTATACTCCAAAATCCGCATGAGGAAATCCATTAATAGTGCAGCTTTACATACTGTTATGTGCGATAATTCTGGGAACATTAATAATGCTAAGCAGAAGATCATTGCTCATTTCCATGACCTGTTAAACCCCACTGCAATTCACACCCCTCACACTTCCTCCTTCCCGATTGGTAGAACTGTTTCCCCCTCTATTTTTGCCACCCTCACTCTTCCCATTACCGAACCTGAAATAAGGAAAGCTGTTTTTTTAGGGGCTTCCTCCTCACCTAGACCTGATGGGTTTAATTTTTGCTTCGATAAGTCTGGATGGCATATCCTTGGCCCCTCCCTCTGTACTGCTGTTCAATCCTTTTTTACTAAATGATATATTCCTTCTGGGGTCAAATCTACTGCTATTTTCTTTATTCCTAAATTTTCCCATGTTAATTCAATTTCAGATTTCAGGCCCATCTCTTTATGCAATACTTTGTATAAGATCATCTCTAAAATCCTTGTTAACAGACTTAAGTGCATTATGCCTCTCATTATTGACATGGCTCAGGCTGGATTCATTAAGCACCGGATATCTACGGATAATGTCATTTTAGCCTCTGAAATTTTAAGGTACTTTAAAAAGTTTACCAAGGATCCTTATATGTGTGATAAGTTGGATATTAAGAAGGCTTTTGACTCTCTATCTAGAGACTTCCTATTGTAAAGAATGGCTCAGAAGGGTATCCCTCCTTTATTCATTCAATGGGTTAAAGTTTGCATTTCTAATGTGAATTTCTCTATCTGCATGGATGGTCAACTAGAAGGGTACTTTCCCTCCTCGGTTGGGCTGCGTTAAAGATGCCCCCTCGGTCCTTATTTGTTCTGCATTGCAATGGATGCTCTATTTAGTTTATTTGACAACTTGAATGAGGGCTCTTCCTTCTAGCCTATTGATATTAATGGCTTCAAAATTTCTCATCTCCTTTATGCGGATGATGTCCTTGTGTTTGGCAAGGCCACCCCTTCGAACTGTCAGGTGCTGAATGATATTCTCCTTAAATTTGTCAACTCTGGTCTTTTTATTAATCCTGATAAAAGTTCCATCATTATGCAAGGGAGCTCTTCTCACATCAAAGCCATATGTGACATCCTTCATATTCATAATATCTGCATTACTTTCACATACTTGGGCATCCCTATCTCCATAAAAAGAACACTTATAACCCATTTCTCTCCACTTCTTGATACTATTACTAACAAGCTTTCGGGTTGGAAAGCAAAGTCTCTGTCTTTTGCAGGTAGGCTACAATTCTTGAGATTCACAATATGGAATATCATAGCTTATTGGATTCGTGGGGCTATTATACCTACATCTTGCTGCAAGCAGCTTGCTAAATACTCTGCGAAATTTCTATTTTTTGGAAATATTGAGGATAGAAAGCTTCATATGGTCTCTTGGGCTAATACGTGTAAACCAAAAAAAAAAAGGGTGGTCTTGGAATACTGGTGTTTCAAGCCATTAGATATGCCTATGATTGCTCTCTCATCCTTAGAATTTATAAATGGTCTTCACCTCTTTCTGCTTGGTATTTATCTAACCATTGTTCCCCTTGGAAGCCCCAATCTTTAACCTCCTCAATTATATGGAAAAGTATCTGCAACACTGATATAAAAGCTATGTCTAATTTTATTTATAAATGGTCTTCATCTCTTTCCGGTCTGCTGGCTTCTCTATTTTTATGCTCAAATTGTATTACCATTGGCATCGATTCAAGTATATATTCATTTTTCTGCTGGCTGGGAGCGATGATGTGCAGACTTCATCCTCCCCCCTGGACGGCGAATTTTGCAACATTTTTCTATTTGGTGACATTATTGGCAATCGGGGATTCGCCGTTTTTGAGGATGTTGACTGTTTTTTTTTTAGCCCGACACAAGAACTAACCCAATCCTGGGGGTTTACTTGCTGGCTGCTCAACTTAAGCTTTTTATTGCTGTTTGTGCTGGACTACTTATTCTTCAAGCCTGGAGCCATCTTCCTGACTTATTTTCCTTTTCTAGCCTGTGTAATTTTTGGCGCTTTTGGGTGCTCATTTTCTAATTGTTCTCCAAAAAAATTGCTCTTTTAGTTCTTTTTACACATGTAACTAGTTTTTTATATCAATGATATTTGGGCTTTACCTTACTTTTCCCAAAAAAAAAAAAAAAAATCTGAGTGCAAGTTAAAGAAAGCCGCCAACTTTGTGCATCCATATATTTATTAAGTAAATAAGAACAATTTTTTTTAGCGTGCTCAATCAAATTTTAAGGCTGTATATATTTTTCATTTACAAAAATTAGGTTTTTCACCCTTTAAAACTGATTTAAACGTCATCTAAATATATTTATAATTTCTTCTCACAGAAGAGTATAAGCAGGGGTGTCAACATATGATGCCACACATAAACTTGACCCAAATTTAACTCAAATATTTTGAATTTAGGATGACCATTTTAACAAACGAATTAAATACGAGTTTAATTTTTCTAAAATATCAAGTTGGGTTCAATTTAATCCAGGAACCTTAAAGCAACAAGTTTTATCAGTCCATGTCCCACCCACTCCGTCGCATCTCGCCCGTTGAGCTCAAGCTCAACTCGCCTGCTCGTACTTACCCGTCGAACTCAATTGAGTTAGCAAGTCGGATTAGGTGGTTTCGAGCTGGTTTGGGGCAAAATTGTTAACCTATTTGGGTAAATGAGTCAGGTTCAAGTCAACCATGTTAAGAGCGAGTTAATTTCATGTCCGACTCAAACTCAATCCGAAAACCTATTTTACCATCATTATAGTTGACTCATCTAAAATTAAATCAAATTAATCGGTTTTATTTAATTTAATTTTAAAATAATTTAATTGCTTTACTTTTAAAAATAATAATTTAAATTAATTAATTAAATTACTTTGCAAAACATCCCACCCAAACCGGACAATGCTCACCCCTACATCCGCTTGTAATTTGATTTTAGCCGACCAATAATACATTAGTAAATAGTATTAGCTAAATACAAAAAGCTTTTCCCAATGGTCACGTGTCACCTAAGCGTTTCCCGATGGCTTTTTTTTGTATGAATGCAGAAAATAATTCATATAATTTAATTATTTTTTAAACATAACTAATTGAGTAATCAATATATTCATCCTAATGCCAACCATAAAAAATATGCTAATTGTTGTGTCCTAAGAAAGAATATACTTCTTAGGCTTATGTTTTTTTTTTTTTTTTTTTTTTTTTTTTTAGCGTATCGGGCCGTTGGCAAGTCAATTTGTGACGCGCTTGACAATTTTCACTAATCTCCTTAGCTGACCTAGACGAGAGCGACCCACACCACTGCTACTCATGGACATCAGGCTTTTGCTTCATTTGGTATGCTTCATTTGAGATGACTTTCTTACTCAAAGGTGGAACCAAACTTTCATTTTAGGGAAAATAGAGAAACATTCATATAAATGGACAAATATTTTTAAAAATAAAATGATGAGATTATTCAAAACAAAATCTTATATTTCATTATGATAGATGAATCAAAAATTTAAAAAAATATAGATGAATCAAAAATTATTATAAGCTTATTAATTTATTTTGCATTTTTTAAAAATACTGCATTACAATTTTATTAAAAATCAAATCAAATACATCTTTTTAAATGGAAGGCACTAATGAAGCATTGAGTCAATCATCACTCATCCTATCACACAATTGATAATTGATAATCTTTATTGTAGACAATGTTCTCTCCACTATAGCTGATAAAGTTAATACTAAAATAATACATTTATAAACTAAATGATACACACACCATCTTTCTTGACCTTAACGATTTGCTTTACAAAATCAACAATATTGCTTAGAGAAAAAAAAACTCATCAATGATATGCATATCAATAATATAAGTTGATAATTAAATTTTAATAGCCACAAGCTCAATTGTAAAAAAAAATCACTTATATATAACTTGGCTAAAAGTATCAATTTTCTCTTATCATAGCAAGGAAGAAATCACTTAAATTTAAACATGTCACACAAAAAAACTTCGTATGTTATATCCCTTCTACCTATGTCAACAGCATTCTCATTGTTCTTCCAGCTTGCAAAACTTGAGGGTTTCAATATGAATTCGACAAAATAGCATCACATGTACCATAATCTGTAATATGCGTAGTCATAAATCGCAACGGAAAATAACAATTAGTTGTACCTCATTTCTACTTCAATCAAGTTTCAAGTGATGCAAGATGTACAGTTTTCAATCAACAGGCTTGGTGGTAATGGGAACTTGAATCATTTTGTTATTATCTCCTACGCACATTAGCGTGTAATCCTTAGATATACAAAGCACACCATATTGTAGCATCAATCAAACGTTCTCTAACATCTTCAAGGATGCGAATAATTGCTCTGAGAGCAAATAAAAATGTTGAAAATATCAATAGCAGTTGGATGAGCAAGTCCAATTCCCTTAAATACAAATATAAATTTCTATCATCATTACAAAGCTTCCACGTCCGCTAGTTCCAACAGGAATGGGTCAGACGAGATATTGTCAAGCAGTATGATTAGTGATACAACTAGTGGGTCCCTCTCCCATCCTTTACGAGTGGATATAAAAAACATCCAATGTCTTTAAAGTCCTACAAATGAGTTTTACTGTCCTAAAACATAGATTAATTAGCACAAGCCACCACTTAGCACCTTAACTAATCATATTTTATACCTTTACTATCATCATTATATAGCTCCTTCATCCTCTAGTGTTAAAAAAGAGATGGGACGAGATGCTATTTAGTGACACAACTGACAGATCCTTCATCTCTAGCACAAAAAGTGATTGTTGGGACGAGATGTTGCCAAATTGTATGACCAATGAATCTCTCCTTCATCCTTCACAATTGGGTACAAAAAGGCAGTTGATGTCATTTAAATTCAAGTAAGTTTTGTTTCTTGAGATAATAGATTTCATCCTAAGTAGCAATTAATAGATTGGTAATTAATACCTTTTAGTAGACAGAGTCCATAGCATCAGCCAATAATCTCTAATAAAAAACAATATCAAGCTATAGTTCAATTTGGCATCAGTCACAACGCTTCAACCAAAAGAACCACAAATAAAACAAACTCAAGACTAGACCAAAAAAAAAAGGAAAAAGCTGGCCAAACTTCTAACCAAAACTTAAATAAAATTCAAAGCTTGAACAAGGGAAACATCAATGCTACAAAAAGTGAAAAAAAAAAATGTAGCAGTTTGTTCGAGGCCAACCTCAATAGTGATTTTTTTTTTTTTGAGAGGCACGGAGAACTGCCACAACAAATTTCTGTAGCCAACCTTCGAAACAAAGATCACAATGTTACAGATGTGCCATCATTCTGCAAATTGGCCTTTACCACCTGTACTTCAGATTTTTTTTCTTATTTAACCATTTACAAAAATAGTAAAGAATCGAATGTAAAGGCAACAATATTCAAGCAAGCACTTTAAGAAGACGTTGTTTGACTGCAAGTAGGATTTACTATTTAGCGAATCCTTTGAAACTGTTTGACAATATAACTCAGGATTTGAAATATTTATTTCAATCTATATATATATATATATATATATATATATATTGCTCTCATATATATAATAAAAAACAATAATGAAATAAGAATAGTAATCACAAATGCATCTACTTGTAAAATTAAAATAAGCATGCAATGTTAAATCCCATAAAACTATTTGACAATGCATTTTAGTATTCAAAACAAGTAAAATAACAATCATTATTAATACATTTACTCCTAAAATCAAAATAAAACTGCACATTAGCAGGAGCATCGTACCCAATAAAATAAATATTATAATTAAATATAAATTTAAAATTTTTGGGCAGCTCAAGCATAGAGCACACTTAAATTGATCAGCATGATTGGCTCATTTCCTATGAGTCAGATTAATATTTAGTAAATAAGCTATATAAAATGAAATAAAATTTCACTTAAAAAAAAAGGTATACATCCTTCACATAAGTTGGTAGCAAATGAATGCTTCACTACATCTTATATTCTCTCCAAAACTATTGCATGCCTATTTAGGATCTTTATCATTGACTAATACCTTATTGAAATTATTGTCATGATTCTTTCACACTGAGACATGTTTAAACACATCGTGTGGAGTCCAATGAAATAATACAATATTATACAAAAGCTTAATATCTACCAGAACAATCAATAAAAAATTCACATGTGAGTTAATGATTGAAAATTTTCTTTCGAAATATCAAATATTCTCTCCATTATATTATGTAACTATGCGTTACAATGATAGTACATTCTACATTACATTGGCAATCAAATGAGATTGCCACTAAAACATTCTACCAAGTGTTGACCTCATTCTGGAATGATATGATAAGGACCTATGTATACTCTTGTTTAGTGATCTGATGATGGGACAATTGTCCACTTATCAATCATATTTCAATCCAATCTTTAATCAAATCTCATTCAGACTTAAAAAATTGGATTGAAAATTATAAACATCTATCAAAACCAATAGTTAAAATGAGGCAACAGATAAGACTGATAAAAAAAATTACTACATGAAAATTAAAAGAATGAATAAAAAAATCGAGAAAAAAAAAACAAGGAATGAGATGTTTCAGATATGTAGCAATTTGTTCGAGGCCAATCTCAAAAGTGAGTTTTTGAGAGGCACGGAGAACTGCAATGAAATATTACTATTGCCAACCTTCGAAACAAAGATCACAACCTCATTGATGTGCCTTCATTCTGCAAATTGGCTTGGTCTAATTGTACTATTAGATTTCCTTCTCGCAATGGCGAGCAAATTCTAGCAAGGTGCATTAAGTCTCTTGTTGTGCTATAACACTCAAATTAAATGAAAATAGAGATTACAATCATTACCACAAATAATTACAAAATCTGGTCGATAAAATATTTAATAAATGGAAATACAGATTAAAAGAAATAACTCTTAAGTGGCAACTTTTTTATGGTTCAAGTAGATATTCTGCTTATTTGTGTAGTGTTGCATAACTTTATTGGATATTACAACAAATAGGATATATATTTTAACATATCTCAAATTGAAATGCAGCATGATAGTGATTTCAACAAGATATAAGTTAATAGTGCACATCCTTCACATAAGTTGGTAGCAAATGAATGCTTCACTACATCTTAGATTCTCTCCAAAACTATTGCATGCCTATTTAGGATCTTTATCATTGACTTATACCTTATTGAAATTATTGTCATGATTCTTTCACATTGAGACATGTTTAAACACCTCGTGTTCGCAGTGGAGTCCAATGAAATAATACAATACTATACAAAAGCATAATATCTACCTGAACAATCAATAAAAAATTCACATGTGAGTTAAGGATTGAAAATTCTCTTCCAAATATCAAATATTCTCTCCATTATATTATGTAATTATGCATTACAATGATAGTACATTCTACATAACATTGGCAATCAAATGAGATTGCCACTATAACATTCTACCAAGTGTTGACCTCATTCTAGAATGACATCATAAGGACCTATGTAGACTCTTGTTTAGTGATATGATGATTGACAATTGTCCACTTGTCAATCATATTCCAATCCAATCTTTAATAAAATCCCATTCAGACTTAAAAAATTGGAATTGAAAATAATAAATATCTGTCAAACCCAATAGTTAAAATGAGGAAACAGATAAGCCTGATAAAAAAATTACTACATGAAAATTAAAAGAATGAATAAAAAAATCGAGGAAAAAAAAAAGGGAATGAGAAGTTTCAGATATGTAGCAATTTGTTCGAGGCCAATCTCAAAAGTGAGTTTTTGAGAGGCACGGAGAACTGCAATGATATATTACTATTGCCAACCTTCGAAACAAAGATCACAACCTCACTGATGTGACTTCATTCTGCAAATTGGCTTGCTCTAATTGTACAATTAGATTTCCTTCTTACCAATGGTGAGAATATTCTATCAAGGTGCATTAAGTCGCTTGTTGCTCTATAACACTCAAATTAAATTGAAATAGATATTACATTCATTACCACACATAATTACAAAATCTAGTCGATAAAATATTTAATAAATTGGAATAGAGATTCTAAGAAATAACTCATAAGGCCTTCTCCAGCCGTTTGGCAAACAGGCGAATGGAGAGCCTCAGACGTGCCAACCGAACTCCATTTTTGTCGGCATTCAGTCACTTATGAACAGTGCGACGCCAATATTGGCGTCGCACTGTTCACTTTCGCCATTTCTTTCTCTCTACCGAACTCCGTCTGATAAAGGCGTGAAAGAAACAACGATGATTTTGGGGCAAAATGGCGTTCTCACTATTTTACTGCATTTTGCAGTGAAAAATGACAGTTTCGGCTGGAGATGCCCTAAGTGGAAACTTTTTAATGGTTCAAGTAGATATTTTGCTTATTTGTGTAGTGTAGCATAATTTTATTGGACATTACAACAAATAGGATATATATTTTAACATATCTCAAATTGAAATGCAGCATGATAGTGATTTCAACAAGATATAAGTTAATAGTGCATACCCTAATGTGAACGCACCATTTCAGGAGATAGTTCAGGCCTTCAGAGTGATGCAATAAGAAATTCAATCGCCACAATAAGCCCACAATACCAATCAACTTAAGTACATCCATTAAATAAAAATTTATATTTAATTGTATTTTTAATCTTATTGGATATGTTACTTTTATTGTTATGTACTTTTATTTGGAATTCATAAGTAGATATGTTTATTTTAATAATTATAATTTCATTATAATCTCTTTTGCATAAATCTTATACGATTTAATTGTCTTGAATGTACTTGCATTGTTAAATAATTTTAAAGGACTTAATATCTGTCATGCCAAATAATTTTTAGAATTTAACAAACTCAAAATTTAGTAAATCTGGATTTACAAGATTATCTATTTGCAACCAAACAACCCCTTAATCTTAAATGAAATTTAGTAAATCTGCAATGCCTAATAATATGGATAAAATTAATGATAACGAGAACAATAAAAACGTTTAAATATTGAAATGCAAAAGATAAACGAAAAAAAAGGTATAAATAAAAAATCAAGTACAGATAATAGAGAAACGTGAAACCCTAACGGAGAAAACACGCAGGAAAGAAATAAAATACATAAGAAAAGTAAATATACATCCTCATTGATTAGATGCGCATCTGGGTAAACAATAACCCTGCTTGTAAAACGCAAAAGAAAAGGCGATAACCTTATAAAACTCACTTGAGAGCTTCACATCCATCGTACCAAGTCAATGAGCGATCGCCTCGCAAAGAGTTTTTAGTTGAGATCTGAAAAAAGAAGGTGAAGAGAAGTTTCTTAGCCGAAAGTTAGAGAAGATCAGCCTTATCTCGGCCAGTTTGCACCAATCCCACATTACAACCGCTGCCGCCGCTTTCGAAGTTCGTCCACGCTGTATAGCGCTCAGCTCCCGCCGCTATACAACTTACCTAGATGACTATCGCCAGAAACCCTAAAGTCCGAATTGGGCATGCTTTCATCCTTTATATAGCAGAGGAACCACTCTGCAGTGTTTGTTAATCCATTTCATGAATTAATAAACGATAAATTTGTAAGATGCTTCAGCTAAGTGTTTTAGTGTTTTACTTTTCGAAATATTTTATATTTTATTTTTTTATTTTTAAAATAAACATTTGTTTTGGAAAATTATTTTATCCTCATGTTTAATTTTAAAAATAAATGAGTATGTTTTCAAAATTTTGAACTTATTAAATGATTTTTTTTTCTTTTTATGATAACAATGAATAATAAATATAAATTTGATATTTTTTATTTTAAATAAAAAAAAATAAATTCTAACTAATTTGTTGTTAATATTATGATTCAATGATTCCTCATAATAATGAAGCATTCTTATAAGACCAATGTAATCCAGTATGTAATTAAATTATTGCAATTATAGCTTTTCAAATACCTAAAATCAATATTGATAAACATGCAGCTAATACTGAGCACAAACATAATAACAATAACTTAGGTCATCTTGAGGTAGTTTGTTTATTAATTTCAAAAGCAACTTTCTAGTACAAAAATTTCTAACTTAAATTTCTTGAATTGGAAATTTATGTACTAAAATGTGAAGCTAAACAAGGACATCCATATGAGGAATCAATATCTACATTAAAGGTGCAAAAATAATTTATTTTACACGTAATTATTTTTCAGAGATTTGTTTGTTAGTGTTAGAAAAGTTCAACATAATTGGATGAAAATAGTTGGAGGCTAAGAGGCTTTCAGATTTTTGGAGGAGCAAATTGCATGAAAAAAAAAAAAAGATAGGTTGGGAGCAAAAAAAGAATTTCATGAGAGGCATATTACAAATAATCCTTACTATACTAAGAGTTTTAATTTGTTTAGGGGGTGATGTAAATCTTCCTTTGAGTAGGGACACATACTAAAGTAGAAAACACAAGAAAAATATGTATTATAAAATTTAAGTATTTAGAATTACAAGCAACACTCTATCTAAAAGAATAAAAGGAAAAGAACAGATATACAATATACCTCCAAATTTAAATCTAACACCAAACGTTACCTACTACAATTATTTACATACATATCATCATTACCATATTTATCATCATTAACATATCTAACATTATTATCATATCTAACACCATTATCATATATGTCATCAATTCTAATAACATATACTTCTTTTATGGGTCTTGACATAAAAATTAAAGATCTAATATAACATCCTCACACAAACATCCAGTAATACCCTTGATGAATTCCATGTTGTGATAAAATCATTTGTATTTATCTCTCTAATCTGTTCAATAACAAGTTCCCTTGACAAGTCAATGGTAAGTTCTTTAACAATTTCATTATGAATGGGAAAGTAACTTTAGGCAAATTAATGGCATCAATTGTCAACTTCTTTAATGAATATGTCCTTTCTTCTTGTGACTTCAAATTTGTTGCACTTAATTTAGACATTTTTAATATAATAATGCTTATTTTGATGACTTAATTCTTTTAGTTAGTTGGTTAAAGTGCTTAACGACATTTTAAACTTTGTTCATGATGATAATAGTACTTGATTAACTTGACACATGCAATATTTGGTGTATATATATTATGATAAGAAGTATAAATATTGTTTTTTTATAAGAAAGTAAATAAAAAAAGTTAGAAGTTGTTTTATATTAAAAATGTTTAATAATATGAATGAGATTATGCTAGTAGTGAATAAGAAATTGAAAGATAAATATTTTGAAATTGATATAATTGGTGATAATATAATTATTATTAACATTATAAAAGAATTATAAATGTGACAAGTACTTTAGGTTTCCAATATCAAATTAAAAAAAATTAAAAATTTTTAGAAGATAAAAATATTGAAATTGATATAATTGGTTATAATATAATCATTATTAAGATTATTAAAAAATTTATAAATGTGACAAATACTTTAGGTTCCTCATGTTAAATTAAAAAATCATTAAGAAAAAAAAAAGACTATGAGATACTTAGCGCTTGCACGCTTACCTCAACAAATCGATCTCAGCTGTCCTCACGTTGACCTCTGAGAGGCACCCATAACGACACTCCTGTGAGCACCCATCCACTACATCGCATCCTGGCCCACTCCCCGCAACTCGGCTTCGTCGCTCGCATCCCACCTCATCTCTTGTTCTCGTAAGTCCTAACACAGTCAACAAAAAATTACCTTAACGTAACCCCAACTCCCCCACTGGCCATTCCTCCGATCGGCAAACTTCGAAGATTCCCGGCGACCGGAGGGCGGCAATGGAGGGTAGCAGCGTACCTATGAAAAAATCTAGGCGAAATCGGATCGTACGCCGCGATCTTAACTCCCAGGTCTGGCCTCACTCATCGCTAGGGTTTTACGCTGAGCCCTTTTCATTGCATCCCTCTGACTCTTAGAAGTCTCCCCGGTTAATTTGTAGAAATCTATATTACCCCGACAAAGCTGCGATGTTGAACTTTTTTCACCTTGGATTCAGGAAATATCTGGAGAGACCGCCATGGCTTCAGGCGAAATGGAAGAAGTGGAGGAGGATGAGATCGACATCGACAATTCGAATGATTACGGCTATGAAGGTGTACCAGAGGTCGGCATGGTGTTCAAAACCCACCAGGATGTTTCTAAATTCTACAAGGCTTATGCTCGGCGAGTGGGATTCGGGGTCTCTGTGAGGAGATCGTCCTTCACGAAAGAAGGTCTCTGCTTGTATCTTGAGCTCATGTGCTGCAAAGGCGGCGGCAACAAGCGTGCAGAACCTAAGTTCAGGAAGAGGACTAGTGCAACCACCAATTGTTTGGCTAGGATCCGGGTGAAGCTCTGGGCGGATGGGCTGCTGCATTTGGAGCTTGCTAATCTTGATCACAACCATCCCGTCAGCCCTTCGATGGCTCGATTCTTGAATTGTAATAGGCATTTGTCAGGATCTGCGAAGAAGCGCGCTAGGATTGATGAGTGTGATGCAGCCCAGATTGGCGAGGAACAAGTGCAAGAGCCTGCCAATGGTTTAGGCGCTCTGGAGGATTTGCTTTTTGGTGAGAGTGACTGCAAGAGCTTTGTTGAAAGAGCAAGGTTGAAGCTTGGAGAAGGTGATGCTGAGGCAATTCGACTGTTCTTCACTCGGATGCAGGCCAAAAACTCGAACTTTTATAATGTTATTGATTTGGATGAGGTGGGGTGTGTGAGAAATGTGTTCTGGGCTGATGCAAGATCCAGGGCAGCCTACCAGTATTATAATGATGTTGTGTCTCTTGATACTACCTATGTCTCTAATAAGTATGATATGCCACTTTCAACTTTTGTAGGAGTTAACCATCATGGTCAGTCTGTGCTACTTGGTTGTGCTTTACTCTCAGATGAGAGTACCGAAACCTATATATGGTTGCTGAAAGCTTGGATAGCTTGCATGTCGGGGCAGCTCCCCAAGGCATTAATCTCTGATCATTGTAAAAGCATTCAGATTGCAGTATCTGAGGTGCTTCCTAGAGTTCGTCATCGACTTTGCTTGTGGCAGATCATGAAGAAAGCTTCGGAGAAGTTAGGTGGACTGACGGAGTATAGGGCTATCCATAAAGCAATGCAGAAAGCTGTTTATGATTCACTAAGCGTTGAGGAGTTTGAAATGGAGTGGGGGAAGATGATTGAGATTTATGGGCTTCGGGAAAATGATTGGATGAGTTCGTTGGATGAAGGCCGACACTCTTGGGCTCCTGTCTATCTGAAAGATACATTTTGGGCGGGTTTGTCCATTACACAAAGGAATGAATCCTTGACTGCATTTTTTGATGGGTATGTGGATGCAAAGACTTCTTTGAAGCAGTTTGTTGGTAAATATGAATTGGCTTTGCAAAGCAAGTATGAAAAAGAAGCCCAATCTGATTTTGAAACATTCCATAAGCGGCGCCCCTCTGTATCAAAATTTTACATGGAAGAGCAATTATCGACGGTTTACACCCTGGACATGTTTAAAAAATTTCAGGATGAGATAGAAGCTATCATGTATTGCCATGTATCAGTTATTAAGGTGGAGGAATCAATATCTACATTTGATGTGAAGGAATGCATCTTCCTTGAGGATGGGAAGAGGACAATGAATAAGAATCACGGGGTTCTCTACAATTCAGAAGATAAGGATGTTCAGTGCATTTGTGGTTCTTTTCAGTTTACAGGAATTTTATGTCGGCATGCTTTGTCTGTCTTCAAGCTACAGCAAGTGCATGAAATTCCATCTCAGTATGTTCTTGATCGGTGGAAGAAGGATTTCAAGCGCTTGCATGTTCTGAACAGGTTCTCAGAAGATGTGGTTTCTAGCAATAGAATTGGTCGATATGATTACTTGTCAATGCGATGTCTTCAACTTGTTGAGGTTGGGGTTTTATCTGACAAATACCAACTTGCTTTGAAGTTGATTAGGGAAATGGAGAAGTTTCTTCTGAGTGACAGTACACATGAAGGGACACAACCAAAGATTATTGCTCGTGTAAATAAGCCATCTAAGCCAGATAATGTTTCCATTGAATACATTGGATGTGCCACTCTCTTGGATAAGGGAATTGAAGGGAGACGAAGGCGCGGTCGAGCATCACAAGTGAATGAATCTCAGGTATAGAACTTGGAGCAGCTAAATTAGCTGCCCTTGATATCTAAGTACTTAACTTTTAGGATCTGGCTCATTTATTTTTCATTGGCTAAATTGCCCTTTTAGGATGCACAGACGACTCTAGAAATATTGAAGGTTTGTAACCAGATATATTAGTTTCAGCAATAACCAATGTATTTCCAGTATGGTTGTGTATCCCTGTGCATTATTCTACTGCTCATTGTTGATTGAATGGAATAAAATGCAGGAGCAAGTTAGCTCAAATATTTTGCCTCATGGGAGCCAGTATGTATTGCAAATGCCTCCTCAACAATTCATTGACAATCAAACAGCAATTAGGCCCAGCATTGTCTATATGTTCCCGGTTTGTGATTTAACTTTTCTTTGTACCTTCAACTTACCAACATTTAATTTAAAAATCTAGTTGAATATTTAAATGATTTAGTAGTGGTGGCTGTCGAAGTATATATATTTTTTTAATGTATTTGTGATCCATTGTCCAAGGGCTTACAAAAGAAATTTATATGACAGGGAGGGTTTAATCCGCATGCCCTTGGTAATGGAACAATGATGCCATGGATGTATCATCAAATGTACCAGGTTTGATTTTGATTTCTCAATTATACTAGTATGGCATCATGTAATTTTCAATCTTCTTCCCATGATTCGATTGCTTCTTACATTGTTAAAATTTTATTGTATGAACTGATCAGCCTAAGGATCCTTCTGGCTTTGGTACTGCTCAAGCCATTAGAAAGCGGAAGGTATCTCGCCGCTTAAAGACGACACAAGGAGGTGAAAACCCACATTGTCCTCCACCCCACCTGTGTCATAGAACTGCCTCTGCACTGTAGAAGATCTGCTCTTGGTGTGTGTTAAACCACACATAAACTTTGCATTTCATTAATTGCAAACTTAAGCTTGCATCTCCTTCAACAATTGCTTATGATGGAAATTTTATACCGCGCCTTGGCATCCAGCTGATATGTTTGTTTAATCTTTGCTGGACGATCTGTTGGTTTAAGTTGCTTCCAGTTTGTTGCAAAATAGTTATTTTCTTGAAATTAGACCTGTTCGAAGCTTCGGTGCATCTTAGATTTTGATCTCGGATATCTGATTATCTCCAACTTGCTGTTTTTTGCCTTTTGAGAGTTAGCAATTCGAGTCCAGATGTGTAATTAGAAGTCCAGAAAAGATCTTGTAGAGTTTCCAAAATCTATGGCACGAACCACAGCTGAAATCGTTGATCTGAAAGAAAAAGACATCAATGGCAAGATTGTTTGTGTGACGACTTTCAATGCGAGGAATCCTGCCAAGAGCAATTTTCGAAGTTTCATGGCTTAGGCGCAGGAAGTATACGGCAGCTAAGAAGTAGAGTTTCTTTCACAGGATTGAAACTTAGGCTTCGTTTGGGACGGCTTTATTACTACTTCAATAAGGCAGTTTTTTAGTAAAAAACTAAAATTTTTATACTAGAAAACTGTTTTAAAAACTAGAAAGAAAGTCGTCCCAAACGAAACCTTACTGTGTGCCATTCTGAAGCGGCTTATGTTAATTTTATGCCAACATATTACATGGGATTTGACTTTGTCTGTAAGGCAGCTCTCATCTCGGTCTTGTGGACTCTCTCTTAATCTGTAAGAGAGATGGAGTTGTGTAAATATTGTAGTGTGGTGTGCTTGGATAAACTATGTTGTGTTTTTAATGAGAGTTCTGTTTAAGCTAGGAAATTCTAGCTCAGTACTTGGCTCGTCTGTGATCCTATGTATCAATTTACAGTGCGGTTTTGTAGTTTTAGGTCTATGCAGCATTGAAATAATTGATTAACTTCTTTGTTCATAATGGCTTCTCAGCATTAGTTGCAAAGAGGCTTCTTGGGCTGCGATTTTACTCCTAGTAATAAGGTCAGAGATTACTTTAGAGCTTGCTCGGTTAGTGATTCGATCATGTTAAACACAATTCAACCCCATAATCAAGCAAAAGTTGTTTTAACAGATTAGTTTCAGAGATTGTCATGTATCACATATGCTACTTGTCCAATGGAAAGCTTGAGCTTTATGATGCATTATAGGATGATTCTTTCTCTTGAATTAGCAGATTCTGCTTGGTGGAGAACTGATGGTTCTAACAATTTTTACAAGGGTAAGTTAACTCTAAGTTCATGCATTTTGTTTCAGATGTCGTTAATTATTGATTATTAAGATTATTTATGTTTTCAAAGCATCTTTTTTTTGTAAGATAGCAATCAAAATTGTTCAAATAATTATTTTAATAAAAGGCATTTTAGAAAATATGAAGATTTTTTTATATGTTGGGATACTCTTATATATCTTTTTACTTAGCAAGTAAAATGGCACGTTATGGTAGGAACTACCCCTTCACCCAATGGGAAAATTATTCTGTGTGGAATCCGATCACAACGATGTGTTCGGTCTGTATCAGTAGCCAATAAAAACATAACGCGTGGCGTGCTTACGTGGAAAGTTAAAGCCCGACTCTTTTGTATTTTCGAGAGTAAATAATACGAGGCCCGCCCAGTATATACAATGAAAAAGGCGAAAAATTTTAACATTTTTCAAATTCGACATTTCGGCCATTCGCTCCATTTCTCGCGAGCTTTCAGCAAAAAACTCTCGCTGAATTCCTCCGACAATCTCTTCTTCTCATCATGGACGTGGAAAAGGATTCACCTGCAAAGAGAAAGATGCGAAAATTCTTACATTGACATAAAATGAACTACGGATATCTTTGGTATTCAACGCGTATTTGCTGAAGAAACCAAAAAATAAATTTAAATCATTCCGAGTAACTATAAAAGTTTAAATTTATCTCACCATTTTCGTTCTTTCTGCGTATTTTCTTTGTACCCAATGTGTATAATCTGCGTAAATTTCATTTATTTTCTGCGTATATGTTGAAGACAAAACCTAACTTTTTATAATAAGTACTTTTGATCTTTAAACCATAGATTTCTGCTGATATTTTTCTCATCCTTTGCGTACATTGCGTATGGTATGCATACCCATCACGT